CTTCCTTCCTTCCTTCCTTCCTTTCTTCCTTCCTTCCTTCCTTCCTTCCTGTAGATTTGGATAACTATTGTAAGTATATGATATGCCTAACTTTGAAGATCTTCTCCTACTTCTGCATCTCCAGCAGCATAAATCTTTTGATGTTGAATATGATGTTTTGGTTGTAGTAGGCAAGAATGCTTGGCTTAATCGGTCAGTTCAGAGAGGGCCAGTTGGATGAAATATGAGAGAAATTTATCCCTAGGGCATCCTGGACACAATATTGGATCTTTCCCCACATCCTCCTATAGTTCAAAGATCTTAGGAGTTGAACAGTGGACTTGGGAGCCTTCCGAATTCTGCTCACTGTACTATTACACATTGTATTATTGCACAGGCTTCTATTCTGCAGAATCTGACCATTTTGCATGAGACTGTCCTTCCAACACCCTACAGAACATCAGTAAAGGACCACAGTTGGGAGGGGAGATATATTTTACCTCATCTACTCCTGAGCAGGCTCAAGTTTGTGTATTCATTCATTAGATTTTTAACCCGTTTTTATCTCTTTATAAGTAACTCAAGATGGTGAAGCTTGCGAGCAGGCAGGCACATCATGGAGGTGCAAGCAAGGGAAAAATGGAGTGAGCTGCTGAAGTCTTTGAGATGAGTATGAGTCTTGTGATGAACTATCTCTCTGGAATAGATGATACTGTACTTGGAAAAAACAGGGCTGGAAAATTCTGAGGATGGAAACAAGTGAAGGACTCACAAAAGATCTTGGTCTATGGAAATCTTAGTGTAGCTAAAATAACTGGATTGTATAAGTTACGTGCATCTGAGAAATCATTTGCTAATATGAATCAGTTTTTATATCAGGACACTATCGCTACCACTGTTAGAGTTACTGAAGACCCTCATAGAGTCTAGAGTCCAGACTATACGAATCCAGATGAGGGTGTAGAGCTCCACCTAGTGCTGAGATGGAATCATTTGTTAGAATATCTGGTAGAAGAGAAAAGAATTTTCCAGTTTTTATTGTGTTGTTATTGTGTGGTGTTTTTTTTTATAGCCACCCACACACAGACCTAGGGTACAGTATTTGATCTGGTAAATTTAGGAAGATAAATATTACAGAACACATCATGAGACAAAAATTAGAGGGGATGTTCATGTTGTCACAAGTGCCTCCTTCAATAACAGATTTCAGAATATGTTTCCTATTTATCTGATTTTTTATCCCACCTTTATTATTATTTATAAATAGCTTAAGGTGGCAAGCATACATAATACTCTTTCTTCCTCCTAGTTTCCCCACAACAACAACCCTGTGAGGTGGGTTGGGCTGAGAGAGAGTGACTGGCCCAAAGTCATCCAGCCACTTTTTTTTTGGTGCCTAAGATGGGACCAGAACTCGTTGCCACCTGATTCCTTGCTAAGCAATTAATGCAATTAGCATTAATTGACAAGAAAAGATAATTTACGGTAATTATTTTGGTATTGGTGTGCTTATTTTTTTTTTTTTAAAAAACCCACTGTTCCTCAATGATGAGGGCAGAGGTGGGATTCTACCGGTTCTGTCCAATTCTGTAGAACCGGTTGCTCTGAAGAGCAGCAAACAGAGAGCATACATTGAACTGGTTCTATGTCTGCTGCTCTTTTGGCCCGCCCACCCGCCTGGGCTCTCACCTGACCTTTATTTCCTGCGTTTTCAACCACAGCTGCTTTGCGCGACACAACTGCAGTTGAAAAAGCAGAAAAAAGGGCTTTTTAAACCGCTGCGCACCTGCGCGCAGCACTGCTCAGCTGTCCAGGCAGCTAGCTGACAATGATATACGTGAGCAAAATGTAAAATCACCGAACCAGTAGTTACACCAGTCGGATCCCACCCCTGGACGAGGGGATTAATGGTTAATTATGTGTTCAGATGACTGAACTGTCTCAGAGAGGGGAATTTATGGGGATGAAAATGCTGTTTGAACTCCCATTTCCCAGAATTTTTTTCACAATTGGCCATGCTGGCTAAGATTGGGAGAAATTACAATTCAGCAAAACATGAAGACTGCTGCTGAATTTAATTGTGCAGCTTTGGGGCAATGTAAAATTAAAACTAAGGAGGAGTATGAGGTTTCTAATACAATCCTAAAATGCTAGTCTTGAAGACAACAATTAGGTCACTGCAGCAACAAAATTGTAGAGGCAATCCTTGACTTACAACAGTTCATTTAGTGACTGTTTGAAGTTACCACAACACTGAAAAAAAAGTGACTTACGATCATTTTTCACACTTATGACTGTTACAGCATCCCCATGGTCACGTGATCAAAATTCAGATACTGTCATCAGCAGTATCGTGGAGTCATGTGATTCACTTTTGCACCCTTCTGAAAAGCAAAATCAATGAGGAAGCCAGGTTCACGTAACAACTGTGTGACTGACTTAACAACTGCAGTGATTCACTTAATAACGGTGGCAAGAAAAGCCATAAAGTGGGGCAAAATTCGCTTAACAATTGTTTCACTTAGCAACAGACATTTTGGGCTCAGTTGTAGTCATAGGTCAAGGACTACCTGTATAAAGCAAAGGGTCTGGATTTGCTGTTACAGTTAATCTTCAATTTACAATCACAACTGAGCCCAAAATTTCCACTGCTAAGCAAGACAGTTATGAAGTGAGTTTGGACCCATTTTACAATAGCAATAGCACTTAGACTTACATACCGCTTCACAGTGCTTTACAGTACCTCTCTAAGCGGTTTACAGAGTTAGCTTATTGCCCCCAACAATTTTGGGTCCTCATTTTAGGGACCTCGGAAGGATAGAAGGCTGAGTCAACCTTGAGCCTGGTGGGATTCGAACTGCCAAACTGCTGACAGCCGGCAGTCAGCAAAAGTAGCCTGCAGTACTGCACTCTAACCACTGGGCCACCAAGGCCTTTCCTGCCACAGTTGTTAAGTGAATCATTGCTGTTTGTCACACGGTTGTTAGGTGAATCTGGCTTTCCCTATTGACTTTTTATTTATTTTATTTTATTTGTTTATTTATTTCTCAAGCAAGTATTAGATAACAGGTATAAGTATAAACATGGTGATGAATACATGAAATGGATGCGAACAAAAAAAGAAACAATAGGACAGGGACGATAGGCACGTTGGTGCGCTTATGCACGCCCTCTACAGACCTCTAAGGAAAGGGGTGAGGTCAATAGTAGACAGTCTAAGGTTAAAGTTTTTGGGTGTTTGCTTGTCAGAAGGTCACAAAAGGGGATCACATAACTCTGGTTGCCAAGCATCCAAACCTTGATCAAGTGATTTGGGGGATGTTGCAAATGGTTGTAAGTGTGATAAATGGTCATAATGCCTTGCTCCTCTTGTATGGCTGAAAAGATGGCTAATCCATGTAGAGCACTGTCCAGGGGATTGCTGCCGATACAAGCCCCTTCTTGGTGCTGGCCTCTTTTCCTATTCAGCTACATGAAGCACAGTGGTATTTCTCTCTTTCATTCCGCCTGTGTTTGTGTGCATTCAGCTTATGCTGACTTTTATGAGCCAATAATAAACTCCAGACAACATTTGTAACGTTTCATCCCGCCAATATGTCTTCAGGTCAACATTTACCAAGACTAGCTAAAATGACATATTTTAGAAGAAATAATAAAATGCTACATAAAACAATTCCTTGAAAATACATCACTCTCGCTCTTTTAATACAACCCTATCCTTCTACTTTCTTTGTTTCTGGGTGAGCAGATCTCAGAAACCGATGTATGCCAATTTGGATATCTCTGCCTGTCATCGTCCAAGGCTTTTATTAAGGAAATGTCAAGGGAAAAGAAAAAAGAAACAAGTAGCAGTAAACCTTCTAGAATTCTAAGGATTACTCATCGAAGTCATTCATGGTTTTCTGCCCTCTTATATGAATATGTAATTCACCCAGAAGATAACCTCTTTCACAGGTATTCTCTGAAAGCATCACACTCTGTATTTTGGTATTCCTGATCTTCTACAACAGATCTGCTCTTCTATGACAAAAAATTGATTTAGATATGTAACATGAGAATTTCTCTTGTTGCATGTTATCAGAATGCCATCACAAAATGAAAAAGACAGGTGTTTCTTCTTGTGGGGGCACCGGGTTAGATCCTAGCACTGAGACTGCGGGATTGCTCCAGGCGAGAAGGGACAACTTGCCATGGCCAACTGTTGCCATGCAACAATCTAACCATTCAGTTTAATCATTTAAAATAAATAAAAACATTATTTTAAATTGTTTTCATTCACATTTCATTCTGTCCTTCCCTTTGCATCCTTTCTTTAATGAGTCTATTATTAAAGAAATGAATCATTCCTTTGATATTAGTATAACTCTTGTCCTTGCAGTCAGTTGTCCTGCTGTGAATTGGGGGTAGTAAGTTGTCCTGTGGCAAGTTGGCCCTGGTGAGTTGGCCCTGGTGTGTTGGGCGTAGTAAGTTGTCCTGTGGCAAGTTAGCTGTGGCAAGTTGGCCCTGGTGAGTTGGCCCTGGTGCGTTGGGCGTAGTAAGTTGTCCTGTGGCAAGTTAGCTGTGGCAAGTTGGCCCTGGTGAGTTGGCCTAGGCAAGTTGGCCATGGCACAAGCGTTAGAATTCAGTAGTGCAGGCTAATTCACTGCTCACTCCAGGAGTCCGATCCTGACCGGCTCACAGTTGACCCAGCCTTCCATCCTTCTGAGGTCAGTAAAATGAGGACCCGATTGTTGAGGGCAATGTGCTGACTCTGTAGGCTATGCCTTGAAGGAAGACAATGCTTCACAATAGGAGACCAGTGCATTTGAGTTCTTTGGAGCAATGCACAGGACTCAATATGATGTCACCCTGATGTGGAATTTCAGGAAAAGGCACCCCTGGAAGAGGGTGAAAGTAAGATACAGACTAAAGAAACATGGTCATCCCTTTTTGTAAAGTTCTACTTCAGGTGACAAAGGCTATGAATGTTTCCTGGAATCCCAACTACTTTATAAAACAATGACATGAAGTTTAGTTGTTTTATTTACAGAAGAACCTAGCAAAGCCATTGTACTTTATTGAAGATGAACTCTAACTTGACAGATATTCATTGCATTGTGGTATGCATCTTCCATGTGTGCTTCTTATTAGGAAGTCCAATTGTATCAATAGATCCTTCATCCAGGCGAATAAAGATGCAATTTATGGGATTTTTACATAAAAACATTCCTCAGTGTACCTATGAGCCTAGATACATCAAATACATCTTTAAAATTGGCCTTGATCAAAGAAGAACCTAAAAATACATTGATGCAACAGATGACAGTGAGCATTAAGTAACTGATCGGTAAGATACACACCACACGACAGGGCTGAGGCACTTAGTTCCATATTATTTTACAGGATGTGCTGCAAAACTGTCTTAAGCACACTCAACCCCAGCGTCTTCACTGTGGCTGCAGTTGTTTTCACCCCATTCACGTTTATTGCACAAATAAATGGAGATTTCGTTTCCTGAACATTGTACATCATCCAGCCAGATCTGTCCAGTTCCTGATGAGCCAAAACACATAAGCAGAGATATAATGAGTGAATATATTCGTTGTTTCCAAGGTGAGAAAACAGATTCTGTTGACGTTATTTTGTTACGAGATCGGATTGTACAAACATGAGGGATTATTGAAGGAACCATATTCCCTTTCGCTGTTCACTCAGATGTCTAAAATTCCCCTCTAGAACAGAGGTCTCCAGCACTGGCTGGAGAATACTGGGAGTTGAAATCCACAAGTCTTAAAGTTGCCAAGTTTGGGGACTCCTGCTCTAGAACAAAGGTCCAGAGCAAAGATGCTCCCTTGCCATGTTTCAGAAAGAAAGAAAAAAAGAAAGAAAGAAAGAAAGAAAGAAAGAAAGAAAGAAAGAAAGAAAGAAAGAAAGAAAGAAAGAAAGAAAGAAAGAGAAAGAAAGAGAAAGAAAGAAAGAAAGAAAGAAAGAAAGAAAGAGAAAGAAAGAAAAAGAAAGAAAGAAAGAAAGAAAATCTCTTGCTTTCTGATTTCATGAAAGTTGTGAAGATTACCTGCAGGTGCAGTGAAGACATTAACAGCCCGATTGAACCCGAGCATTCGGCAAATCACATTGCCAGAATTCACACTCCAATGATCATCACAGATGGTGCCCCACTGTCCTTTGTGCAGAATCTCCACACGGCCACGGTTGTCTTGTCCTACGAGTCTCAGGAAAGCCCCGAATCCTGTAGTTTATTTGCATATGTAATTTCAAAAGACAACGGCAAATCGCATTAAGGGTTTGATTACACCAAGTATCCCTTGAAAAAGAACCTTTGTACTCCAGCTATACCTCTGTGATTTTCCACATCTAAAGGATGGTCCAGTATAAACTCTCTTAGAGGGAAATGGTGGGCTTTAACTAGAGCATTCTCAGCAAATCCTGCAACTGATGCTTCATGAATTTATTTTGGTGTTTGCAAATTTTGACTTTGTTCCTTAATATTGGCTTCTTTACTAAACCTGGTCCCCCAGGTGACCACCTAGCTCACCTGTATGCAGAGGTGGGCTGCTGATGGTTCGCAGGGGTTCGGGAGAGCCCCTCATTAAGATTCTGTGCAGTTTGAAGAACCCCCAAATCCCACTCCTAGCTGGCTCCTGCTTCCCCACATCCGTCCCTCCCAGGAGTCCCCATGCAGCCTGTTTTGGATGTAGGTAACTGCAGGTACACATGGAGGCTTGGGGTACACGAAAAATGGGCCTCCCAGAAGTTCGGGAAGACTGGAAATGGGCCCCTTTCCGCCTTCCAGAGAGCCTCTGGAGCCCGGGGAGGCCATTCTCACCCTTGCAGAAGCTCGAGGAAAGCCTCTGAAGCCCCGGGAGGGCAAAAAAGCCCCCCACCCCATGGTGCAGGAGGCCGACTAGACCACACCCACCATGGTCACACCCACCCAGCAACTGAGCAGAGAACCCGTCGTTAAATTTTTGAAGCCCACCCTTGCCTGTATGGATTAGCCACTCCTGGCAAAGAATAGCATAACACTAACAATTAGTTAGGTCCTGAAGACAACTCCTGGATTAAAATGTAGGAATACAAAGGATAATGAGCACAAATATCTTTTCTAACAAAAGGATTGCATCGTATTACTTATCTATAAGTCCTAATACAAAGGATACTATCTCTGTTTTGCCTACTTCTGGAATAGGCACAGCTATATGTGTTTTTTTTAAAGCTATTGTTTGCTCTGATGCTAGATAAAGAAATACAGCTTATATGGAGCTCCAAGTGTTCAAAAAAAATTTTTTTGCAAATTGTTTGTTGGAAATAATTTACCTGAGATGCCCCTTTCACCTTTAGCACCTTGTGTTCCTTGTGATCCTGGTTTAAGGGAATTAACAAAACAAGTGTTAATGAAACATCCAGATAACTTGTGTATGTTTTTTTTTTAAAAAATCATAAATGAAAGCAGAAACAGTATACCATGGAGTTATAAATGAATAAAATAAATACAACATGCACCAGAAAGATATTATCTGTCCTACTTGTGTGTCACAATGTCAAAGGCATAACTATCGCATGAGTTCTCATAGACTCATAGTGCCCAAACACTTTGGCCTTAGGACCATTTGTTAAATTATTTTTTAATTTAATTTTTAAAAATAAAATGATGGAGGATCCTGAAAAGTTTGGTTTGTGTGGGTTATGCCTATCAATATTAATTAGAAATTAAAACAGAGTAATTTAAAAATATTTATTTGACTTCATGGACCTCTTGAAAGTGTGTTGTCCTAGAATTGATTTTTGTTACTTCCTTTCTTTGCTACTACCAGAATAGGCTAATTTTTCCACACGTAGGAAACAACAAAGTTGTAGAAGCAGCAGTATAGAATCTTCATAGTGGCTTTCCATTAAAGATCAACCAAACAAGGCATATGGGGTAATCCAGTAGCTTCAATAAAAAGGAATTTAGAGTGGGTTGCGAGGGATCATGAGTGCTCTTTGGCTATAATTGCCTGTAATAATTTAAACATGATCAATTCATATTCTGCCCAAACAAAATGTAAAGTTCATATGCATTTGATTATACTGTGTATTTGTGCAAAATATTGACATTGTTTTTTTGGAATTTACCTGTATCTCCCTTACTACCTTTTTGACCTTGATCACCCTTTTGTCCTCGTGGACCTGAGAGAAGAAAGAAGAACTACAGGTTAAAAAGTCTTTGGAAGCAAATGTTTCAGTATGCTATTTGCAGCTCTTTCAGGTGAGTCATTGTTGACTAAAGATGTCTCTACGAACAGCAGAGAGTGGGACTGCTATGAAGAATTGGCAAGTAGACCAGTCCTTTGGAAACTCTCTGGAGAAGAGAAGAACAGGAGATTATCTACAAGCTCTGAATGGCAGCTCCTTCCAAAGGGATTGTAATACTCTATTTCAAAGGTCTTCAAACTTGGAAAAGTTTAAGACTTGTGAACTTCAACTCCCAGAATTCCTGAGCTAACATGACTGGAGGAGGAATTCTGGGAGTTGAAGTCCACAAGTCTTAAAGTTTGAAGACCCCTGCCCTATTGAATTGAGCACCTCAGTTGTAGCAGCACCTTTAAAAAAACATTAAGCTACCTATGCTCACATTGTAAACATGTTTGTGGATGATCTGCTTAACTATGTCATGGGTATTAGAGACTTTCAAACTGGCAAGTTTAATTTGACACCTGGCGAGTTTTACTTTCTTTCTTTGATACAAGGACTTTTTTCAAGACTTAAGAGTTTAAAAACACTATATAATTGGCATTCAGAAAAAAAAGATTTTTTATGTAAGAAAATTATAAATTGAACTGGAGACCAGAGGAATATGGACTTCAATAATATTATTACAACAATAAAAGCCCATAGTATTTGCTTACCTGGAACTTGACTTACTGCTCCTGCCTCCCCTTTTTCGCCCTTTGGGCCAGGAGCTCCTGGTGGACCCACATTTCCAGCAGCTCCTGTTAAGTGAATCAAAGGGTGTGATAGCAGACCAAGTGTGAAGGAAGAGTTGCACATTGTGTACAAAGAAAGGTGTGCTAAGAACCATCCTTTTTACTTGGTAAGAAAAAATTACTTAGTAATAGAGCAGGTATGCCCTGAGACCAGGACATTCTGGATCAAAATTAAAAATTGGTTACAGGATATCGTGGCCTGTCGAATTGAACTCAGACCTACTAGGAATCATCAAACCCCTTAATAAATTGATAATTGCTCATGAGATAGAAAGAGCTGATCAATGAAAGAGGAGAAAAAAGGGAAGAAAATCTGCAAATACACTTTTAAAGTATACAATCTGATGCCAAATGAGAAAAGCAGTTGTCACTTCCTTTTTTAGGAACAACATTGTAATTACATCTAGCAATTTCAGCAAAGACTTCTCTATATTATGTGTTCTCAGGAGTCAAATTATTTCTAGGGGAAAAATTAGTTGCTCTTGTTTTAGTATTTTCTAATAGATATAAGTCCTATTGACTTCTGCATGTCTTATTGCGTAGTCAGCATGCTTTGCTGTGCAGTGCAATCCCATGGATTTTCACTCAAAATTAACCTCTGTTAAAATCAGCAACATTTACTTCCAGGAGGTGGGTGAGACTATCATGCTCCTGAACATATCTACAATGTGTAAGAATAAATGCTACTAGATGTAAGGAAATTGACTTCTGGTAAGTATAGGGTTATAGTGTTGGAGAATGTTTGTTTCAGGGCATAGGTGATAAGAAGGGCATTTCAATTGCATTTACACAACATTGTTTACCTTTATTTCCTTGTGGTCCAGGAAGACCGCTGTGACCTGGCTGACCTGAAAGAGAAAATAATATTTCCATGTCTATATGTCTGAGTGTGTTTCTATAAGTGAAAGGAGATTCTTTGGGTGTTATGAACATGACATACGGCAGTGATCCCCAACCTTTTTTACGCCGCGGCCCGGTACCGGCATCAGCTGGGCGCCGCGGCCCGGTACCGGCATCAGCTGGGCGCTGCCATCTTTTTTTGATGAAAACGTGCTTCCAGTGAGCTTTCTACCTGGAAAAGCTCACCGGAAGCACTTTTTCATCAAAAAAAGATGGCAGCGCCCAGCAAGCCAGCGGCCCGGTAGGACTTGTTCTGCGGACCGGTGGTTGGGGACCCCTGACATACGGAATGATGCCTTATATAGAAAATATAGTCCAATCAGCATTACTGGATGATTTCTGGTGAGAGAGGGATGGAGGTGATGCACCCATTCTTGGTCTTCTTGACTTCTCAGAGGCTTTCAATACCATTGATCATGATAACCTTTTGGGCCAACTTAGGAAATTGAGGATAACTGGCACAGTTTTGTGCTTTATTGAGTGTTATGGGACTTAGTGCTCTCTGCTCCTTTTTGACATCTACATGAAACTGCTGGGTAACATCATCTGCCACCACGGGATGAAGTATCACCAATATGCTGATGGTATACAGTAATATATCTCCATTCCAGGTAAAGTAAGTAATGCTGTGGTTATTTTTTCATAGTGCCTGGAAACTGTGGGATGAGGAACAATTGACTTCATCTGAACTCTAGTAAGTCAGAATGGATGGGCCCCTCTGTATCCAACAGTTTATTATCTTTGATCTTAGATGCGTTGCACTACTTCAGACAGACCTGGTACATAATCCGGGGTCCTCCCTGGACTCATGGCTCCTGGTCAAAGAGCAGATAGCAGCCATGGCTAGAAGGGCCTTTGTTCAACTTTGTATTGTCCACCAGTTATATCCTTTCCTGGATAGGGAGGCCCTCTGTTTGGTCATTATAGACTATTGCAATGCACTCTACACGGGGCTATCTGAAACATGGAACATCTTTGCTCTGTGAACTGCATTGGGTGCCAGTTTGGTTCCAGGTCCAATTCAATGTGTTGGTTATGTAAAGCTCCACATGGGTCCAGCTTACCTATGGAACCATCTTCATCTGAATACTTTGGCCCATACCATGTAGTCAGGAAGAGAAGGTATGTTGCAGACCCAATCAGTTAAGGGATTCTGACTGGCAAGGTCTAGGAAGAGAGCCTTCTCAACCTTTCAGTTTTGAGTAGAGAGCCCAGAGGAGCACTGTGGGGCTGTTTGGTGCCCTAACAGCCCTCCCTTCTCCATTTAAAGTAATCTTAACAGCATTTAATCATCCCTGCCTTCTTCTAAATTTGTAATTGTTGTAAGCTGTTTTTATAGTTATACATTATATTGTACATCACCCAGAGTCCCTCTCTGAAGGAGATGGGCAGTTTAAAAATGTGAAAAAATAAAATATAAATTTAAAAACAAGAATAGGAGAATACACTTTGAAACTTGTAGAAAGATTGTAGGAATATTTTTAGGGATGAGTAAAACTACCAACTGGATTATAGTTCTAGAATGTCAAATAGAGCACTAATGCCTTGAGTGGAAGACTAATGAAAAACATTAAATCATCATGGGTATTGGTGGGAGAAAAACAATTTGAAAAATCAATTATTGAAAAGTCATAAGGCAGAAACTAAAGGACAACAAATGATATTAGAATAAATTATCCCAATGATAAGTACTGTATATTCTATACATATGTCTTAAAAGAAAAATAGTGCTCCTCTTAAGGGAGATTTCTCCAACCCAGGTGTGCTATGTTACTTTAATCCTCAGTAGTGGCTGAGAATGGACTGAAGAAATATAAATCTGAAGGACACCAAGGTTGAGTTAAGGAGTAGAGACAGGTAAAGTTGAATACTGTGTAAGTGGTATTCCATCTATCCAACAGAGCCAGTATATTGTACAGTGTATAGTGGTTAAGGCAAGCAGAAGACAATGAGTTCTAGTTCTGTGTTGGCACACAGTCAACTGGATGACCTTGGTCAATCACTCTCAACTCTAGGAAACAGGAAAGGGCAAACCACTCCCCCAAAACTTTGTCTCTATCTTCTTACAGAGACAAGAAGAATTAAACTACAGGGACTTGTCTAGGCATCAACATTGACTTGAAGACACTAAATAATAATAATAATTCATTCCATCCTTCTACCTATCTATTCAGCCTCAGGATTAGCTTTTGAGGGATTGTGTGGGGCTGCAGCAAGAGATAGTGGAATTTACCCAGTGCCCATCACCTGACAGGATGAAGTCTCTGAAAATAATCATTTGGATGTTATGATTCTAAAGCATAATAAAAACATTTTGTCAAATTAGGAGATGGTTGGAATGACCTCAAACTGCCAGAAGACCTCTGCTGTTCCCAGTTCTATTTCACTCTATGTGAAAGATGTGAAGATTGGGTTTTCCTCCACTCCATGTGTTGTAGCTCTCTCCTCTATTAGGTCACCATGTTTTCTTACTTCCCCCCCTCCAATTAATAAAGAAAACAGGAAGGACCAGCTAGTCAAACAGTCTAAGGATTGCTAAGAAAGAAAGAAAGAAAGAAAGAAAGAAAGAAAGAAAGAAAGAAAG